GACTTTGAAACCGCTTGAACCAAAGATACTTCACCCCTGACCGGATGATTAGTATCTACATCGAATCCATCTTCATTCGGCCTTAAATTCCAGTTGTTAAATAAGGCTTTACTAAACCTATCAATATCTTTATCTGTAACATCCCACAAGTTTGCCACTAATGCTGGACTGTCATGAAATGATAATTTAGTGCTCGTAGAAAAAAAAAAAAATTTTTTTTTAATTTTATTAGAAAATACCAACCAGCCCGCTATTATGTAACTCAATGCCGTGCCCGATGGATCAAACTCGCCACTATCTTTTAGATGACCGCTACTGCAACCCAGTAACAAGGTCACGGCACACCTGTTCAGACTTTGAACACGGTAATTACGGATGTATTGTTCACCAGCTCCGTGACCGAAATATCTTAAAAGTTCACGCAGGTGTTTGAGATTTTTGTAAAATTATAGCTTATCAATTAACAATGAGGACTTACATATAGAGGTCGTGGTCAGATAATCCATTTTTAATTTCTTGTTCAAATGGAGTTCGACCAATAACTCCATCCCATCCTTTAAAACTTATATGTTGTAAATTTATTAGCATAATGTAATGTTGGTGAAAACAGTTGAGAAAATATACATGGAACAAACCTTTTTACGAATGCTTCAAATTCATTTTGTGTATTCTTTAAATCTTGACTTGGATTTAAAACAAAAAAGCATTTATTTTGCTCAACAACATAATCAGACCAATCAGCGTTTTTATCTTTCTGTCGATGCAGATGCCTAGCCAACATTATCCGATCTCTTAAAAAGGAAATAGACGGCAATCGAGAAACGGGTTGATCCCTCAGACATGGTAAACTCTCCCATGGCAACATTTGAACATTCTTGTCAAGAATCAAGATAACATGTTGATCAGAATCCGAAGAAGCAGAATCGGGCATATTATCGCAAAGTATCTCACGAACGTCCACAGTGAGCTAGTTAAATCCGAAAAAATTGGAGTAAAACATAGTAAATAAACGTACATATTTTTCCGTCTTCGGCGAAAGACACTTACTTGGTCCCAATCCACTTCATCATATCCTAATTGCTGATCATTATTCTTGTTAAACGCGTCCACAAGAAAAAAAAGGATATCTTCTATATCCTGATCTGTTGCATTTTCTCCCAAACGGAGAAAAGATCGACATAGTTCGACCTCAATGTCAAGTTTACTTTTCTTTTGATGTTTAATGGATGACTTGCAGGTACCAATAAACAAATGATCAATCCGATTTTTAAAGA